AGCACAGCGTGACACACCATGAACCCCTTCAACCAGTAGTGATGCAGCCCGTCAAGCCCCGGACTTTTCCAGTTCGGGGCCCTACGGACCGCCTCAGCTACGTCATCCGGCGTTATGATGACGGGGTCCATGGGCGTAATACCCGCACACTGACTCGCCACAACTTCCGTCCAAGGGCCCTCGTTGTGGTTTACGGGCTCTGACCACAGGCTGCGCCGGAATGCGACCGTGTCGGCCTGATTTAGTGCTGGGCCCGTTCCACTTACTATTGGTCGCTCCAATGATTTATGGAGATTTTTTATTATATTTTTTTTATTTATTTATTATTGTTATCATTAATATTTTTAAATACTATTATTATTATTGTTTTATTGATATTATAGTTATTTATTATTATTAATCTTAAAATTATTATTAAAGATTAGCCTTAAAGATGTTTAATAAAGGTGAATTAGAAACATTTGTTTGTTCATTCAGCAGTGCATAATTACCATTATTACTTTTTAAAATCTCCAACTGCTCCAGCACACACAGTCGCAGCCCCTTTATTACAAGTATGTAAGACTTCAAAGGAATGGTCGCTAGCTAGGTTGTGTCCAGTGTCCAAGAGATGTTTAGCAAAATGGGATTTATCAGGATTACAATTTCTGTACGCGGCCAAATGCTCTTTATAGCGTGTCCCGAAATTGCGACCAGTCTGACCCACGTAAACGGCATGGCATTCCTCACAAACAAGTTTATAAACACCCGATTTTTGACTAGTATTTAACTTATCTTTATTATTACAAATATTCCTAAGCGAATTGTTTGTTTTGAATGCCACGTTAACGCCGTTTTTCTTAAGAGTATTAGCTATTTTTTCCGATGTGGAGCCTAAGTAGGTCAAACTACTTACATATCGCCGGACACTTGGAGATCGAACCGCGTACAAAGAATCGCGAACAACATGCTTTTGTTTCTTTTTAATAATTATTAATGAGACTTTTTGAAAAACCTTAATATTAAGTTTAAATAATTTTAATAAGTTTTAAATAATTTTCTTTACTTATTGGAACAGTGAACAGACGGTTAATGTAACAATAAAAAGCGGCTAATTTATGTTGCCATGGATGACACGATGACGCGGAGATGTCCGTGTCGGTATGAGTTGGCTTTCGATAAATTTGAAAAACATGCAACGACTCTTTTCTTGTTATTGTTAAATCAAGGAAATTAAGAGAGCAATCTTGTTCCAATTCAAGCTTAAATTTAATTTTTTCGTGGACTCTATTTATTTTACTAAGGAAAACATCCAGTTGTCTCCTTGTGCCTGTCCAGCAAATAATTATGTCGTCTACATATCGATAATAGTATAAGATATTTTGGTTAACAACTATATGTTGTTTTTCGAAATTATCCATGAAAATGTCCGCCATAAGTGGACTTAGAGTGGACCCCATAGCTAACCCTTCTTTTTGTAGATAGAAACGGTTATTAAACCGGAAATAATTTTGTTTCATACAGAGAGAGGTTAAGTTAACATCATTTGTTTCCCCGGGATGTAGACGACGTTTTTCAAAGAGATCTGAGCGTATACGCAGTCAGGGGATGGGACATTTGTGAAGACTATCAACGTCTAAAGACAACAACATAGATTTAGGTGGAATACGAATATCTTTAATTTTGGAAATGAGATCTAAACTATTTTTAAGGCTGTAAGTTGGGTTGAAACCAGATTTCTCCCGAAGGAGGAATTTTAATTTTTTAGCAAGGAAATAAGCTGGTGCCCCTATATATTATATTATATATATTAGCGGTCAGCCGCCGTAGTCTACATTACCTGAAGATGTCTTGTGTAGAGGCGAAACACGTGTCGTATTATCGTCGATGGTGTGTCTTACCTGGAATAGTGGTGTTGGGAGTAGTGGTGCTGGGACTAGTGGTGACGGAGTTAGTGCATGCAATTGAGGGAGGGCGGGAGGTGCTCTTCAATCCAGGTAAGACACATCATTGTATTTATTTAGCGGAAGGTTGCGAAGAAATTTATATTTTTATTTTTTTATAGTCGTCATTATTAGTTGGCCCATGTACCGTGAACTATCATTTTAATTTATTTAGTCAATCTACCGTATAATTAAAAAAATGTAGGTATATACTTGTTCAACTGAAATTAAATATTTCACAAGAGCGAAACTACTTAATACTTACTGTTCCTACTACTGCCGTCTTTTCTTCTTTTTCATTTTAAATATAAGTGAACCTATAAAAGTTAAATTGACACAATGTCGTGTACTAGCAGTAGGTTCAACAAGGAAGATACATGGTCTTCCACATCTGGCATCCGAGTAGGCGAAGTGACTAGTAGTGTCAGACCATATAAACAGATCTACCCCCATGATCGGGTAAACGGGAACCAAGTCATTCAGCGTGATGAGCGTGATGGGATCATATTATAGCACGGAGTTTGCACACATTTGGACGTGGTCGGTGAGTCTGTGTTGGCATTATCGCTATGCGATATAGAGGCACCCGTAGACGCTGGGATGGTCGTCACTGTCCACGCGCAGCCATAGGATGGACAGATCCGTAGCTTCAAGGGGGGGAGTAGGCCTCCGGCCACCTGCACTCACCAGACGAAGTGCAGAAGCAGAGCTTCTAATTCACGCTGATCTTCTGTGAAGTGACTCCAACACTGGTTACCCTGTTTCTACTGCGAATATCTTCATATCGAAGTCATCATCCAGAAAAACTTGACCAGCAGTGAAGAACCACGTTACAGATCTATGTCATCACTGGTAAACAACACACTCTTGTATTCAAACTTTAGGGTGTAAATGACGAGAAAATGTTCCGTAATTTTCCGAACTCTGCTCAGCAGATGCATAAGATTTGCTTTTGGATTATTATTCACACTTGCATGTAATTGCCGAAGCATCCCGAGGACAGTCGGGCCGTACTAAGCGTTGATACAGCATCTATGAACTCACTGCGCATTGCTTTTCTAGCTACGACCTATCATTCAAATTTAAATTTGCACAAAAAAATATCATCGCGTAGATATTGTGCAACAAGAGTAGCCTTGTTACAATACCTATGCGATGATATTTTTACTGAGTGTTGGCTCCATGGCTTTTTTAATCTGAAGTAGATTCAGTGAAAGTCTTGAGAGCCATCATTATAATAAGACAGAGTTCAATATTTAAATAAGAAATAAAATCACATGTTCATTATTGGTAGGTCATAATTTAATGCAGTTTTCTTTTATCATTAAAAATTTGCTTCTGCTTTTACTTATTAATATGACAAATGGAATATTGTTTGATAACTAGATTAAATATCTATTCTGTGACACTAATTTAAACAACTTTTATATTTTATTAGCATTTTGTACAAGGACTGCTTTACTAATACTTATTATAAATTTAAGACTATTAAAATAGTAAGGTACAATAAATGGGCATATATTAGGTTTTTCTTTAACATGAAATCAAATGCTGATTAAATGAAGTAACTAACCATTTTTTGATCACTTCAAATAAAATATATTTAGAGCATAAGAATCTGTTTTCACATCACTGCATTATGATACATTTTAGTAAATATAAATTAAGCTGATCTAATATGAATTTCAATAATGCGTAAACATGTAACAAATTCTTATAACTCTAAATTTCTATTTATTGCTAAAAGTTCCAATACACTTTTTAATAGAAGTGATATATACAAAGGAAGGTAAAATTTAACAAGGCTGCATGAATAGTAGATAATTGTACAAATAAAAGTTCGTCCTTTCAAATCATAACAGCAATTTGAATATCTAGAACATCTGGCTTTCCAAACTATTGTACTATGCTGTATTACGTCAAAAAATATGCCTCGATCATATAGATGAATCAAACTATTTAGATCTACTGAATAAATACAGCTGAAATTCAATTTCAAGAACTTCTATATACAAAGTTATCAACATTAAAATGGCTACTTTAAAAAAGATAAAATTTTCAATGCCAAAAAGCTAAATATGTCTTTTAGGACATGTTTCATATATTTAATTTATAATTTATTATCTAAAGCCACCATTATTCAGAAGTTCTAATATAGTTTCCTTGTAGTTTATTTATTCTAAAACAATGTTTGGCAATTTAGTAGTAATAAAATTATTAAAACATGTCATGCCATAAATATATGATGCTAAAGCTTGGCGAGAAGTATGGCAGTTTGTAATATACAATATTACAATCAAAACTTAATGAATAAATAATTTATTGTTCAATTATTGTGAGAATGACATTGGTAAACAGCGAGAGTAATCAATTATTTTTGCCTAATCTATGGCAATATGACATAGTGAATGTGAGTACCGTATCGAAAAGATTTCAACATAAATATGGAATGTAGCAAACACTCAATTGACATGACCGTCAATCATTTTGAGACAATAATTATTTACAATTAAATAGTAACTATGCTTTGTAAATTAATATTCCTTGCTTTTACTGTACTGATATGCATTATTTTACACATTGTCATAAATAAATATAAAAGTTGTTTAAACACAGATTTATAGCTGCTGGATAGAAATTAAACTTTAAAATAGGTTACTTAAATATGAAACTGTACACTGCAAGACATTAGCTCACTATTGACTGACCTTTTCCATAATATACAATATCATCGAAGGTTACAATCGAAAGATTCATTAAATATTATATAATATAATTTTAATTGTTTCTATTTGAATTAATTTTATCTAAGACAACATACTTCAACGTAGACTATGTTTAATAGTGTTATCTTTTTATTTTATCTCAGTCTTAGTTTTGCAAAACTCAAAGACAGTGCGAGGAACACGGACGCACAAACGCCATACACACCTACAACACAAGTAGCGGGCAGTCATTTCATAAAATTTCAATAGAAACAATTATTAAACCAATTAAAGTAAGACTAGTCGCGCTCGCCGGCCGCCCGGCAGTCCACACAGTCACTGTCACCACACGGGCCCGTCGCCGTCGCACATATCACAAGGTACGCGTTCGTGTGACTCGTCGCGGGCGCGAGTCCCAAATAAATAAATTAGCAAGTCTATAATACTCCGGGACGCGCGTGCACTTCGGCGAGTGTGATCGTCCCGATAATGGAATGTAAGCGTGATATGGTAGAGGGGTGATGCGGGGGGGAGGCGTCACGCGTCGGGCGGCGACGGGCGGCAGGGGCGGCAGCGGCGGCAGGGGCGGCGGCGGGCGCCGCGGCACCATGACGCAGGGCGGCGGCGCGGCGGGGAAGGGCGCGGGCGGCCGCGCGCCCATCCGCACCCACCAGCGCGTTGCCTTCTGCAGCAGCCCGTCCTTCTTGGCGCCCGCGCGCCGTGCCGGCCCGGCCTCCGCCGCACCCGCCCACTCGGGCACGTCGCTCACGCACTTGTTTGGCGGCGGCTGGAAGCTGCTCCTCGTCAGCTCGGCTTGCTGGAAGGGAATGCAGATGCGGGTCACAAATATTGCATCATCACTGCATTCACAATACATTCAAGTTACAAGTCGACTAGCCAAAAAGACGACTGTCAAATGTGACATCACTAATACCAGAATCCATATGTACCAACAGCATGAATGGAATCATGGTATGTACTTTAGGAAGGGCTGCAGGCGATGCGGGAAGAAACTATTAATTTGCCATCACATACTCCAACTATAAACACTACAAAGAGGACTATCTTACTTTATACAAATTACCTACGTCACGTTTTTATAAACTGTTATATTTGCACTGGTTCAGATCAAACTTGTTGCACCAATTTGGTCATGGAAGGAATTGTTATAATAATAATTTTGGTAGATTTTTTTATCTCTACTCTAAACATAATGTTGAGTATGATTATGGCATGATTGCTTAATTTTGAGACAAGATTGGAGCTGTTGTGAGATCACTTACTAGTTAGAGAAGATTAGATTAATATAATTGGTAACTTTTATATATTTTTTTTAGCATTTGGATCAGAAGTAGTTTATAAGCCGTAGTTTTGTAGGTACATTTTACACACTTTATCAATAGCAAATTTAGGCATTAATTTACAATGTGTTTGGTGGTTGACATAGAATAAAAGAAAAATTATTTTGAGGTCATAACAAGATGGCTCAACAACTGCTGCAGCTGTATATATTGTTGTGATTAATAATTCTGCATAAAACAATTGGTTTTCAAAGTTTACATATAAATGAAACCTTAAGAAACATATATTGGTATCTTTTTTAAATGAAAACATAGATTATTTTATCTAAGAGAGTAATACTAAATAAGGATGGAGAGTATAATACTATCTGCAACTTATTACAATAAACAATCATCATTATCTCAACCCTATGAGCCAATTGTTAGGGCAAGAAACTTTTCTTAAATAAGAGTATTGATGTAATAATAAATCCTGCGTACAATAGCTTTTCCAGGGCATATTAAAATACGGCAAGTGTATGGGGCAAACACAAAGGCATTCATTTGTTGTCTATGTTTAGAATAGAATTAATGGCCAAGTGTGGATGCAGTGACAAAACTAATGGGATCCATGTTCCCAAAATCAATCATTAGCTTGGGCTGAGATTTCAAACCAGAAACAGACATTTGGAAACTTCACTATAGCATATTGACTTTGAAGTAGCAGTACCCATTTTTCTGACAGACAGTTAATTTTACAGAGAGTATTCTTTTTCTGACAAAAATATAATCTGAGTTCAGATAAGATAATTTAAGACTTGTATTCAAATTGCCGTGTGGTATCGGTTTAAGAATACTATGTTTCGTCCCATGGGTGTCGTAAGAGCCGTCTTGGGGAAATATCAGAAAGCTCATGGCTTTCGAAAGACGTCGGTATAATCATCTCATAATCCGCTTAACATACGCAGACGACGAGGGTCACCGTCAAATGTGCGAGACGTCTGGTACCGCGATCGTCCATTCGCCTACTAAGCAAAGCGGTTAAGTTAAATCGTTCCTAATGGGAAAGGCTCATGTCCAGAACGTATGCAAATAGGATTCAGATTGCAGTAGTAACATTATTATCAATTTTCCGACACGGCGACAGGATGCCGTAACAACAGCCCAGATAATTTAAATGAATTTTTTGCCATTAATAATTAGTTTTAAAATTGACATACCTTTATTGAATTCTATTTTTTATTGACATGCTTTATTGTAATTTAAATTGTAGGGGAAATACGTACAAAATGTCTGAACTCTTTATTAATAAATCACAGCACGTTCATATTGTACACCAATAATCTTTGGTTTTATACCTATGAATTCTAATAGATATTTAAAAGATAAACTAACTGATTTTTTTTAAATTAAAGTTTAACTGTGTTTAATGAAAATCCATTTTGTCCATAGCATATTGGAAAATTAATAAGATTAACGACAAAGCTCGCAAATGAATCGGTTTGATTGTTTAGGGATCGTCCGCGCAAAAGCGTGGGTCCACTGCGAAACACTTAAACACCGCAACCAGTCTTCTCCAGGTCTTGACCGGAAAAAAAGATCGTTGCAATATATACAAGAGCAATCCTCTTCGTCATCTTGAGCGTTGCCTGTCAAATTTTCTTCTTAACCGACTTCTTTGAACAAGGTTTTGGTAATGTTTTTTCTCCTCTTTCCTGCAAGAGCTTCAGGTTATTTGTTTTGACTTAATTGCATTCATGTTTGAAAGAGAAGTCAAAATCAAAGAGGTTTGTTATATCTTTGGCTTACGTTTTCTTTGGCCACTAATGTAACGACTTTTTGGGACAGGTGATATATCCTCAATAGGCACTACTAGAGTATAGGAAGAAGGGCGTTCTTTATTACCAGCAGATTTTGATTTGGAGCAGGTGAAATAAGGTCTTGACCAGTGTTTGATGTTGAATTATCGCCTTGTTCAGTAGAGTCGGTTGTTTGAACTGTATCGTTTTTGTAAAGTTTTATCTCTAAAGAAGTTAACAGCTTTGAATAAAGGTATGCTAGTCAAGCATGCTAGTGCACAATTAGCTCTTTGAGTTCTTATGGACAAAACGACATACCTATGTCATTTTGTCCGTTACCTATGTGTGTCATTTTGTCCTTATAGCGTTATAAAAAATTCAACAATAAATTCAAAATTAATATTATTTACGGAAAAAGTTATTCAAATGCAACAATAAGTACCTAAGGGATGTAATAAATGTATAAGCAAGGTAAAACTATGAAAATATAATATTAATGCAAAAAACTCCCTGCAATCAAAAAAAAAAACTCGTAACCTAACAATTTTTGTCGTCGGCTAAGACACCCGAACGAAAGACAGGCGCGAGTTCACGTTTTGACAGATAGGTATGAGCTGATAGAGTCACGTGATATAGTTATCTAGGACGGCCTAGAATTGACAGAATTTGAAATATGATGCCTGTGTCATTTTGTCCATGTATGTCATTTTGTATGTACTTCCCCTATTTAATAAATGATTACATTTAACTATAAATTAATACACATATATTGAAATTGCTGGGTTTCATGTATTTGACTGGCCTTGTACCTTTAACTGTAAATCTAACACTGTATTTTCTCATTGACATATTGTATGATGTAACTAGTTTTCTATTTTGACTTGTTATTCAATTTAATTCATAATTTAATGGCTAATTAAATGGGCCTCATGATGTACCTAAACTGTATTTGTCACATATTCTTATACTCACGATTGCAATAAATAAATAAAAAATATGAAATATAGCGTACATACAAAGTCGTCTTAACCAATTTTAAGCTCCAGCTGACTACTGCTAGATGTAAGGACGGATGAGTAAAAATCAAAATGCAGATGTGTTGTAACCCATGAGGATTAAGATCGAACACTTTGTTACTAGGCAAGTACTTAAATTTCATCATAAAGATAAGATGAGAGATATTGGCATTGGTCAGCCTATAAGACGTGTTTCATTGTAGCAGTAGAAGGTACTTACGGACCTGGTAAGGCACCCGCAGTTGCAGGTGGGCGTCCTGGCCATACTCCCCGTCCGGCAGCCGTATGCTGGGCGGCAGACCGAGCCGTTCCGCCGCCGCGGCAGACCTCGCGCGCGTCTCCTGCTCCACCATCTCCTGCAGCCGCCCCACCATCGCCTGCAGCCTCTGCTGTTTCTCCCATTCCCTGAAATTGTAACAATAAAGTTAGTTTGTTGACCCTGGTCGAGCACTCACTTGTACTATAACTATAATAATATTATAGCTACAGAGTGACTCTACCACATGTAGATAGTAACATAATATCAGTTCGTTTTTTCGATTCAAACTCGTATAAAACTTTTCTACTACAATCCGAGTAAGCCCTAGAATTTTAGTCTTCAATGTGTTAAAAACAATAATCTTATGTTTATAACTCATTGGACAAAAAAAGGTAAACAATAAAAATACATATAAATACCCTCATGTCAGATAACTTTACTAGACTATCAAACGCGCATAGTACAACAGAAATATTTTAAGCTGGGGTAGAAGTTGTTCACACATACAATAAGTTTTGTTATCATTAGTTTCTCTTTGTATCTATACGTAAAGCGTGGCGAATTGCGATTAAGACAAATCCCACTAACAACGGGAGAGTCGCCCATGTTCAGTAGTCGATTTTTTTAGGGCTGATAAGGAGAATTAACTCAATTACACTTGAACAAACTCATATCCAAACAACTTAAGCAAATATATATTTTAACAGACATGCGTTTAACATTTAGGAAGACATTATGTGTTATCATTCCTCAAGCAATTAGCAATAGTAAAAATAAACTTGTTCATTTTTATCGGCTCGCAAAAGTTTGGTGCTGGACACAGACGAGTCTCTTCTATTGTATAAAGGGTTTGTGTTCAGTGTCACGCTTAGCAGGCGAGTTGACAGAAGATGGTAAGTTGTCATCATTCTGTATCCTCACGTGCTCCCTCCATTAGGTCACAGTGCCAGAGGTTCGCACCTTTGACGCTGCTGTCCTTCGCTCGTCTGACCGCGGCTCCACATTATCGTCGTGAAGCTCCGTAAACAGGCGTGAACGTGAATGTAGATTGTAGTCGCGGGATTCACGCGCGTTTACGCCTGTTCCCCGATCAGAGTCGGTAATTTGTCCCGCGACAAAGGGTTCACGCGTACTCATCCACATTCACGGTCCCGTGCCAGTTCGTTTCGGACCACAAAGTCACGTACGGACGATGTATTTTAGTCATACACTGTCTTATTTTCTTCAAACGCTTTCTAAGGAATTTCTTGTTTTGGATGTCTAAACAGTGTGTGTTGTCACAGCAAATTAAAGTTATTGCAGCAGCAGCTTCTACGTCCGTTTCGCGGCGGGTTTCACGAACGATTGTGAGCATCCCGTGAATGTGGAGGGCACGACTTGTGCCGTGAATTCATGGCGTGAATTCGCGCGTGAATTCACGGCGATAATGTGGAGCCGCCATTAGTATTTTACGTCTGACGTAAACGAGATGGTAAGTCAGGAGGCATACGATTTTTCAGTCTATTTCTAAGTTTGTTGATAATATCGCGTATAAAACATAGTTTAAGGACGTCCTCCTACCTAAAAATGTACCTTAGCTGCCGTGCCACAGTCTTCTCGAAATTTTTTTTTGTTTGCTCTCAATTTCCATACATTAAATTTTGGTTGGCATTTCGTGAAACAGGTTTTAGTTTAATCGTGAGACATAAAATATTACTTGTAGTAATAAGACAGAAAATGTTTTATTTTTTAATTTGAAACATCGATTTTTTTTTCGGTTCCATGTTAGTATGAGACCTAGAGGTCTCATGTCTAGATGGGACATATAACAAAAAGAATGTGCCAACTTTGTTGCTTGTCTAGCATGTTGTAAAAGTCGACTAATGGGATAATGGGTTTATGATTGTGAGGGCTAGCCACCTATCTCTTTTTCACAATTTTCCAACTAAACCTATTTTTGTGGTAAAACGTGGTCCGAGCAGTTCGCTGCTCTTTGCGAGCAGTTCCTGATCTTTGGACTCTGTCTATCCCCCTCGGGGATTACAGGCGTGACGTTATCTGTATGGGCGATATTTTGTTAAGCTGTGTGTTGTTTTTTTTACACTGGGATGGATTTTTAATATAAGTTAGGGTAAAAGACAAACGCACAGTCTACTTAATGGTAAGTGTATGCTATGGCCCATAATACTGCAGCCATAATTGTTGTAGTATGGCTAAAAATTTCATAGCTCGTCCACATTTATGCGAGTGTATATTGTCTGCACTATATTATATATATATGAATATAGGCATTTTTTTGTCATCATTTCTAACTGATTCCCACTCTATTAGATTCCTTTTTTTTATCACGATTACACGAACGAATCACTTATTTTACGTAAGCTAGTTTCTGAAATGTATTCTTCTTTATCAACCTTTATAACTCCACGGCTGGTTATGGACCTCCCTCGTTGAAGAGAGAATTTAAATAATTGGCAGACAGATTGAAAATCGCAATAGATAAGAATCTAACGTCTCACACTTTTCATGTTATTGACGGTCGCCTGTCTGGTACAACTTATTTAACTGTCTTATGTCTGGCGTAAATGAGATGATATACCGCTATTTAAGCCATAAGATCTCTCTGGCGTCACCTCACACTCGTGGAACAAAATAGACTGAAGGGTGTAGGTCGGAAATACAGCAGAACTCAATATTTTAATATACTTTAATGACATGATAGTATACATTGTTAACAGAAATAATTTCTTAAAGAATTTTCGATAACATATGGCTATTTCTGTTTATGATTCAATACTTATAAAAATGCTTGATATTCTCTTAAATTATAACAAGTATCGATTATTACTTTGAAGGTAAATAGTATATGTTTTGTATACAATTTTGCACAATAATTCCCCATTGGCATTTAAGTTTTGTTGTGATGATTGTGACAATGAGTAGCGGCGTAAAGGATCTCGTACTATCCCGTGGGTGTCGTAAAGTCAACGCAAGTGAACGCCTCATAAACCTCGTAGTTTATGGTACGATGGCAGATAATTTTATCTCAGATAGTATGCTACAACTGGTATACTTACCTAGATATCAGTAAGGCGCAGCGGGGTCTATTGCTTGTATTTATATCTCTAATCTGTATCCTAATATAATGATTATGGCAAAACCAATTAAGCTTACTGAGGCGCATGGGGGTTAATCTTAGTGTAAATTTGCTTACAAGATAAGAATCATGCTCATTTATCTAGCATGTGGCAGTATGTTTAAAATATTTGTAACGGTTGAATACCGCGTGTGCAGGTGTGAATTAATTTTCAAAAGCCACTTTCACAGAGACCGGGAATGCTTACCATTACTTAAAAAGGAATACATGGATACAAATTCAGTTTGAACATTGTATTAGATTTATACATATTATATATGTATAAATCTAATACAATGTTCAAACTTATAGATTTTTGACATAGTGGTTATTGAGTTGTTATTAGGAAGATGGTGGTGCTGCTCTTCCTCCGTTCATCTCCCTCCGTTGTTGCTTACGACACCTACGCGATAATATGGGCTCGTGGTTTCTCCACGCCGCCACTACAAGGCTAGAATAGAATAACTATTAATCCACGTGGATTAGGTACTAGTAATTCTTATTGAAAATCATTTTCACGTACATAGCCATACGTAACATAATATTATTGTAACAATTTTATATTGAAATCTTTTTGTAAGACACCATTGAATAATATGTTGTACTACCTACGTAAGTACATTGTACTTCAATGTAAAACTGTCATCAATTTACCATTTTATCGTAATCTATCGATATAAGGCAGGCCAAACACTGCATACAGAATTCCGTTTCGGTTCGGAATTCCGAAAAGTAACGAACAGGTCGGCCACACATAAAGAATCCCGTTTTGCCCGCAAAATTCCGTACGAAAAACTACCGTAGGTGTGTGACGAGTCCTTGATTTTATATGGACTTGCTGCGTTCGGAATCCCGAATCGGAATTACGAAACGGAATTCCGTATGTATGTAGTGGGCCTAAGGTCCGCTACACATTACATACGGAATTCTGAAATGGACCGAACGGGTGGGCATGCGGAATCCCGTTTTGCCCGCAAAATTTTGAACGAAAAATTACCGTACGTGTGACGGGTCCCTGAATTTATATGGAATTGCTGCGTTCGAAATCCAGAAACAGAATTTCGTACGTACATCACACACAAACGTTTTTACCGTTCGGAATAACAAGGTTCAGTTGAGAGATGCTAACCATTGATTACAGTCGGAAACGGAATTCCGAACGCAGCAAGTCCATATTATAAATTCAAGGACCCGTCACACACGTATGGTAATTTTCCGTACGGAATTTTCTTCGATTCGAGATTCCGTATGACCGCCTGTGCGTTCGGAATCCTGCACGGAAAAAAGCCGCTCCGAACGCAAGTCTTCCATAGATTTTGTATGAGTCGCAACACACATTCGTAAATTCCGTACGGAACGCGCCCAGTGTGAGTCACACCACCGACCGAATAGGTGATCTAGTACATGGAGGATTATATTTTACATTATGTAGAATACTTCTTGTGTTCCGTCATAGCGAAAGCAAGCCTATTAATTTTATATTACATAGATTTCCATAGACTGATATAGTACTCAAGTGGGTGAAAAATATTAATTGTGCAGCTCAGTTCGAGGAGCTGCAGAATTTCTTTGTGTGTCATAAGCACATTTTATACCTGGTAGAGCCACGCTGCAGCTATATTATGGTTGTCGCTCTCACGGAATACCCGCGTAAAATAGTAGAGAACCGGAGACCCGTTTTACCGGGTTACCGTGAATCGAGGCATTCCATCTTAGTCCTTAATGGTGACAACGCATCTGCATTTGGATTCTTAATCGAGGTTAAATGAAGATGTCCATGGGCCACAACATCCACTTACCATCAGGTGGACTGTGTGCTCGTTTGTCACCCTTATCCTATAAAAGAAAACATTTTAAGGATATAGTTACACCTGCACTTATATTAAAATAGTGTAGAGAAAAAAATATAGTTCTAGATAGGTTCGTCATTTGGCTTTTTTTACTACTGGATATCCTGCAATCTTAGTGTTAAGGGGTACATCCTTCTTCTTAGCTAGATACAGTAACAACGCAATCACAATACGAGTACCGTCGTCCATATTCGTTGGCTGAATATTTTTTTTAAAACGTTACCTCCACACTAGGATTTTCTCCTGTATCATGGGGGCAGTTTACAAACACAAATTTCACAAGGACAAACATCCAGACCCGGAAAAATTACTTGTAGGTCATACAAGTACTTGTTCCGTGCGGGATTCAAACCCGCAGCCCTTAAGCGCTATAACTCATAGCTAAGCCACTGCGCTACGGATCCGTCATATACTCTATCTGCACATCTATCTGTACTCATTGGCTAGCACTTCTCAACTGAGCCTTGTTATTACGAACGGAAAAAAAACGTATGTCTGTGATGTATGTACGGGATCACGAAACGGAATCTCGAAACCTAATTCCGTATGTGGTGGGCCTAAAATACAAAAAATGTTTCTACGAGTACCTATGCTCTGTATAGACTTAAGAAATTATCCAACCGATTTTGATGAATTTTTTGTGTGTGTTTGAATGGGTCCCTAAATGGTTTGAATTTACATTTGGATCCGGTAGGTGGGGCTGTTATCAAGAAATCACGCGTGAGCCGGGTAGATCGCTTAGTTACTTAAATAAACAAAAGTTTGAAAGTGCAAAGTATTGAGGTACATTTTAAAATATAAAATATTTACTTAAACTCTGTAATGTAGTTTGCACTTATCTGTAAGAACATAGTAACAAATTATAGTTGTTTAGAGCGATTGACATTATCATGTAGCACTGTTATTTATTGTTTTGTCTATACGCCGCGCCGCGCCGCGCCGGTCTGGACAGATACCGATGCAAGAAAATGAGAGTAGGCATGAGAACTATCACGCTTTGTTGACAAGTCACTGTGTGATCTAAATGGTGTATAATGCAGTAATTGTGTGTCATCAACATTGTTAAAGCTTATCATAGTCTACATGTGAACATGGTGTTCACCATAGATTGGCACATAGAAGGGGTATTTAGTATAGTCGCCACGCTTGGCAGGCGGGTGGTTCCCGCAGTTTTATTTAGTTGTTATTAGGAAGATGTTGCTCATAATCTCCTGTTTCAGTTAACTCTATCGCCTTTTATGTCATCCACGGGAGGATACGGGGCAGTGGATTTTATTACTTATGTATCACTATTCGGCGTCACTATAGGACACACGTAGACGCGCGCGCGCTTGTGTGTGTGTGTGTGTGTGTGTGTGTGTGTGTGTGTGTGTGTGTGTGTGTGTGTGTGTATGTGTGTGTGTTGCGCGCGCTGCGTGGTGTGTGTGTATGTGTGCGCGCGCGCGTGTGTGTGTAGAACCATAATGTAATTTCCATTAAAAAGACATGTAAATTAATATTTGTATTAAATTATTACGTTTCATGGAAATGAAACAATTATTTCTTTAAATTATTAATTAGTACCTATATTATGAATATCGGTTGACAGCATTTTTTCATGCCTAGATAGCTATGTAAGAGAGATAACACATTAATCCAACTCTTCATAAATGCCTATAAGATCTTGTGCATTCTGACGATGGCGATATACCCATTTCGTATATATGTAGGTATACTTAGGATGTTTTTTTTAGGTATAATGTTGGGCCCGGCTGGAATTAGAAGGCACAAACCGCGACTTAGTAGCCAAGCAAGCAAGCAAGCAATATGGCGTATTGTGGTCAAATCGAGTAATACTTACAATGTGGAATGATGTCTGTGATCGTGACGCAGGCGCGGCCCCCCCGGCGCGCCCAGCCGCTCCATGCCCGCGCACCCCGGCACTTGCACCGAGAGCATCTGTAAGTCACAACACACTGCTCTCACTTATGTGGTTCTCCTTAACATTAGTACGGTATATGACTTAAAAATAAATAATATTATGTGCTATTAAAATTTTATGGAGGGCGGGGCAAAAGAATCAATTTTCTCTTTCCGTGGGTATTGTTAAATACTATAATTTTATTTTGTGGTACCGTAAGAAAAGGCTATGAGAAATGCCTGATAGATTTCAAAACATTGTGCGGTATAACCATCACATATGCACCAGATGTGCCGGATTGGCGAATGAAACACATTTGTTTGTACTTTCCTTAATGATTACTTGAAACATTAGAATAATTGCTTTAAAGACTCGATCAGAAGCACTCCATGAAGAAGCCTATTAAGCTTGGCGATTACGGTAAAATTATCCCTTTGGGAGAAGTCCTTGTCAAACAAATAAAGTAAGACGGAGGCTGCGCACATTTCAAGTGACGCAAAAACTAACCCATAACATGCTCAAGAAAAGAAATAAAAAAGATGCGAACGTGAGTGCATCAAGAAGTTTAGCATGGTGTCATCATCAAATATCAGTTTTTAGCTTCATACAATTCGGCATAAAATAAAATGATATTATATCTACACGCCGCTACACTGTCTCGAAAAATTTGGACGTGGTAAAAGCATATATATATTATATGCTTTTACCACATATATACAGGTTGTCCCAAAACTCGACTCTGGCAGGCCTCTATCACTCTTGCTACCTGCGTGAAATAATTACCTAAAATCGCGACGTCCCCGGGCGAAATAACGCAGTCGGGGCTGGCGCGTTGGTGGCGATCGAATGTTAAAGTTTTTTGCCGCTGTTTACGTAAATAGTTTTATGTAAATAGTAGTGTTTAGTATATTTAATTGTAGGTAAAATAGTTTTAAATTATATAGGTATTATGTATATTACCTATTTGATAAATTATAATAGCAAAACGTCCTTCCTACTATAACTGTTGCTTAGATGGATACTAAATGAAATGACTAACAAAAGGCTTCATGTCATTCTTTAAGTTACCGAAGAATTTTAGAAGGAAGTTATGAAAGGTTAAAAATATTTATTTAATTTTTTTGTTAGATAGGTACTCACAGTAAAAAAAGAATTAAGTAATAATTTGGTCTACAGAAGAAATACCTGAGTACTTCATTACAACAATTAGTTAAAATTTACTTCACTATCCAAGTATTTACTTACATACCTATACTTGTCTTTTGTAATTAAAATATTTTGAGTTATAATAACACAAAATATTGAAATTAAAACTTTGTATACTAACAAGATTTTTAACTAAATAGAATAGATCACATTTCCGTTAGAAATAGTATTTCAGGTTTATTTGTTGTTTACACTATCTACCTATTTCTCCCAAGCGTTACGATTCCCGACGAATTGACCTTGCAATTTGCATGCGTTAGGCATCGCAGAACTCCCATGTGGGCGAAAGTATGGTTCAATCATAGTCAGAATATTAGTTAGTACCTTCACCTAAGTAACATAATTAGCATTTCGCAATGTATTTTTTTACTTTCTATTGACATCCCTTAATAACCACGGAAAGTCCGCCGTGACAAAAAAGATGCAAAGTAATATGGACACTAGCGCGCAGCGATAAAGTTTTATTTAGCTTGCGTGTGCGATTTATCTGATTAATAATAATAATGTAGGCTATTAAACGTCGGTAAGCAGTCGACATCAAAGGAGTGCAACTTCTGTACGTAGTACTATTATTTATTCTGTGACTCTGGGTACATTAGGATAATTTTAGCCAAGTAAGAAAAACTTGTTAAAACTGGGTTTTACGAGAGAAAAAAACAATGTCCACGATTACAGCTATAATTTACCAAGTGTTATACCATTTTGGAATCCTTACTAAATGTGCCAACTTTTGACGCTATTAGCCAAACTCGCGTAGTAAGATTTTTTTTTCAATACAGTCAGTTAAATCTAGGCAATTTTTTGATTTTCAATTTTTTGATTTTCAATTTTTTTTTAGAAATAAGTCCTATTTTCAAGCAAGCTAGAGCAACTGGTTTTAAAATTTTGATACCTCAGATTTTGATAGTTCAGAAAAGCATTATTCGGGCTTTCATAATAAAAAAATAGTTGGAAAAAGTAGTTTTGTGGCAACAGGAGTGAAAAGGTTATCACAGGTGTAAAAATTTTCCATTTTTTTTAAATGCCTATAATTTTGAAAACATGCAACTTAGATTTTTTTTTATTTTTCTGACAACCAGCATGACTTGCCTTTTCATCCGGTGCCGGGTTGACGTCGAGTTTTGGAACATTCTGTATAACGTTATGTCGATACCCCGACATGATATGATATGGTTAAGTGTGGACGCGTTTTGTGTTTTGTATGATGTAGTGGAAACATCGAACTAAGTAATACCTCAATGAGTGGAAAAGGGCGGATACAAGTACTCGATACGATACGCCTGTTCAAGATACGTTAAGATGATTAAATGTCTAAGACGCCGTGTGTCGTATACGTAGGAAAGGATCTTCGAATTAGAATAACATTTAGTGAATCAAATATTATATTGATGGGATTGAAACTGTCGATGTATTTTCTGTGATGTTAATGTTGTTAGTCCACCTGATGATAAGAAGTTGCTGTGGCCCATAGACATCTATCCTTTGAGTATTCAACCAACATATTATCTATCCCATTCAAATCAAAATGCAGATGTGTGTCACCCATAAGGACTAAGACGGAATGCCTCGTTGCAAGTAAAAGGGGTCTCCGGTTCCTTACACTCACCATACGAAACACAGCAGCATTAAGCTACTATTTTACACTGGTATTCTGTGAGAGTGTGGTCCTTTCCCTTTTGGCACAAACTACTAATACAACTGCAGCATGGCTCTATAACATACAAATTGTTGTTTAGTACTGAAAAATCAGATGATATATTTTGAAATATATTTCTTCTTATTTTTATTATATACTAGTGACCCGCCCCAGCTATGCCTGGTAGGATCTATTTTATAATTGTTTTAAAAAACGTTTCCCAAGTTTCGGATAAAATTTAGCTTAGATCACTCTTGGGATTCCTTTTTTCGTGAAGTTTCATTACAATCCATTCAACCATCGCGAAGATTAGCTTGATTGACAGACAGATGAAAATTTTTAAAATGGTTATTTATGTCTTATTAATAGAAGCCAGTTATATCAACAGTATAGACAGACAAGACATCTCAACTTTATTTATATGTACAATAATTTGAGACAATAATTATAAGAGGAATTATTCTCGGCTGCATAGGAGCCTCCTTTAGAGAAACCCTCTATCCTATTGCATCTATACATGTTTATCAATCAAAATCTAAAAAACCCATCAACACTATGGCAAATTTTACAACTCATAAATGAAGGCTCCAATTAAAGGTATAAGGAGCTAATTTAATATAATATATGACCAAATTGAATTTCATTGAAAATAGAAGTTATAAATAATTCCCTTTTGCACTAATTGTGATTAGATAAATAAATAGGGTATAATTTTGCAAATTTGAAATGTAAATTTTAGATATAAACACATTAATAGGCAGTGAAAGAAAATAAAACATGGAAGCATTTCTAGCCCCAAAAAATGACTCAACACTAATCAAGCTGTTGTAGACATTGTTTTACCAATTGTGTTATAAATAAGTTTAGTTCAAATAGTCACTAATATAATACTGATTAATCATTATTTGTATTGAACCTTATTACATAAAACATTTCTGGTGATGAGTGGAGTGACGAGAACAAAAGATCATAATATTAAACATTGTAAGCAACATCTTGTTATATGATGTATGGCAATTGAAAACAAAAAAATCATAAGTGTGCAAAAACCCTGTGCATCCCAAATTGTAATAAAATATAGTAAAATGTTAGCTAATCAGTGATGGAGTCTCAATGTATGAGTTTTTTTTAAATATTTATTTAATCTTGCATGTCACATACTACGCAGATATATCTGTATCTGTTTCAACTCGGCTGGGCGGCTATACCTCAAAACCGGAAAACGAGATTATACAACCAGTGCATGTTGCCAGTGACGACCAATGGAATTGAGACATGGTCGTTCACTGCTGGCTGTATGAGGACGCTCAAAGTCTAAAAGAATAAAGATAAACTTAAAAATGAGTATATCTACAGTAGAACCAGAGTGACCGACATAGCCCAATGGATTAATAAGCTGAAGTGGCAATAAGCCGGCCACATAGCTTGAAGAACTGACAACTGCTGGGAAAAACAAGTTCTCGAGTGGTAGGCGAAGTGTAGGGCAACCCCCCACTAGATCGAGTGACGACCTGGTAAGACATACAGGAAGTCGATGGATGCAGGTGGCTCAGGTCCGTGCTTTGTAGCATACCTTGGGGGAGGCTTATGTTTAGTAGTAGACTTATGAAGGGCTGTAATGATGATGATGATGATGATCTGAGTGCATATCTTTTAATATCGCTTTCTATGAAATTCAATAACTAATGCACACAGCACAGATAATTTATATTTTATCGTTAATTATCTTTAAGCACCGATATATATCGCAAAATAGTGACAGTATTTTCTGCTCATACAAATAGTTTGCCGTTTGCTGAAGAAATATTATTAAATTCACCTCGGTCCTTTTTGAGCTTTATATGATGTTCTATTTAAATTCTTCCTTCCAGTAAATGCTCATGCAAAATCTGAATTCTATTTTGATGAACTGTCTAGCAAATCTAGAAGCAATATACTCCAACTCATAAACAATCCGCTCCAAAAACATGTCTAGTAAGTTTGAAGAATTTTGAGTGAATGTATCACTTCATATATTATTGTATCTGGGTAGTGTGAAATACGTTCAGATAATTAAGTTTTTATAGGCAGATAAAATATTATCATATCTGTATAGTCTGTGACTCGCCTTAATGCTAAAAGCATTCTTTGCTAGTCACCTTAGGGCATTGAAAAAATTACGAAGACAGTTACAAATAACATAAATATAGTATGCATGTATATATACAATATATAAATATTGTGCATTGTTTCATGCTTAAATCCCTTCAATACGTACATGTTTTATTGGCCCTATCCTTTAATAAATTATTATATAGACTACCAAGTCTGTAAACTGTAAACTAGTGTTAACTATGCATAAGGATTTAATTGTATGTTAATTTATAACATTGAATTTAAATATTTTAGTTTGGAGCCCCTTCTCTGTATCAAATCACACTGACAGACTGTTCATCTTTTCCTTAATACTAATTACTTAGTTAAATGTAAACCATATTTTTTACTGTGAACAAGAAACTGGGAAACATGCTTTTATTTGATGGATGCAGTTGAAGCATTTCAGCAATGACGTAGATAGTTGAGGGCTGTAATGATAATGATGGTGGTGACTGTGTCTGTAAAGTTTATCATTTTTTGATAGCAGAAAGTAATTGTCATTCTAGAGAAACATTTTATATGGTTCTAATCTAAATTTATTTCTATACTTATAATAAGTCAGTGCTTAACTAACTTAGCAGTAAGTCGTGATGAAGCACCAGAGGCTTAATTGCACAAAAATGAAAGCCTATTCACTTGTCTTCAAGACATCCAAATTGTAATTGGACAGAAAAGGACTTTGACCAATTATTTCACTTTTGCTGTACACTATTTGAATGCATGGAATATCGACAACAAAGGTGTGGAGATCTGTCGACTGACTGGTTGTCCAATGGTGGAAAGAGAAAAGAGGAATCCATCTGTCAAACATGACAACTACAGTAAATAAACGGGATACCCCAAATGAGGTAATCTATGCAGGAGCGATAAAAATGAAATCAAAATCAATTTATTGTTTCAGTAAATAATAATGAGGATATGTGCCTAAATACTTTAGAATATTTATTGAAAGTTTTTGTAAACCAGGGTACTTAGTAGGTTAGTTTGGAAACATCCTAAAATAATATATTATATTGTTTCAATTTTATTACTTAATTATTAATATTAATACATAATATAGAACTTATTATCATTTTGTAACATTCATATTTTTGTATTTGGAATACACAATTTGGGATATAGCTTCCAGAAATAATGTTTATATAACTCCATTCTCCTCTTTAATATTTCATATGGCAATGTACTTTATTCTTCTTAATGTAAAAAGTAACTGTGGGATTGTGATGATTTAAAAGTGATAAATTGAAAAAGCAGTTGCCTATAAAATATAAATATTCATTAATAACATGAATATACATATATTCAACATTAAGATTTCAAGATTTTTAAGCTAAAAATTTATTTTGTGACACATGTAATTGTATAATTGTAGGAATTGAGAAAAAGTATGATTTATAATGCAAACAGTATATCAATTTAGATAAATGTTATAGAAATTACCTACTTATATTTTGATAAGGGATAAACTTACATTGGAATAAACCAAGATAATATTCCCTCAAGAGTTGTGCAGATATTATTGAGTTGGCATGTCACGACTATCGCAAGAGCTGATTACGGAACTGTCTGTCATGAAAATTTATTTAAATTCACACAAACAACGTCTGGGCGTGACGTCGCTATCGGCGCGGTTCTTATCACTTGGCACGCTCCCGCTGTCTGGCGGCCGCAGCGTTCGAGCTGCCTCGGGCTCGGGCCTCACTCGTCCGCCGCCAGCCACCAGCAGATTGCCTCCACCATAAACGTTATCTCACACGAATCGTCATAACATCATTACCATTTTCTTTCACATTATAAGGAAACACTTGGCTTCAAAAGGTTGTCTTTATAAAAAAAAGTTTAAGAATGCACGTTTTTGACAATGAATTGATATTTTACTTACTATTTGATTTAGTGTTGTCCACGATTTTGTAGTTAGGTGTAAATTCACAGTTGATAAGGTTTGTTCGTATGGATTACACGCCTATAAATTCACTTGTACAAATCGATCAAAACTCTACTACTGTTTAGCTTTATCTTGACGTTGCACTTTCACTCATTTTGGCAATTTTGTTTAGTTGAAGCATAAAATATTAAAACAAAACAATCACAAGGACACGATGACTACAACACCCGTAAAGCGTATTGACAATAATTTAACTATCATTCACTAATAAATAAAAATATGGTTTTCAATGTAATAACACTATAAAAATAAATAATTTATAAAACAAAGATAACATATAAATTCCACTATCGCGTATTTTGTGGTAGAGTTACAGAGAACTCTTTTATTCATGTTGGCAGGAAGACGCCTGCCACCCAGCGAGTCTTGTTGTTCAATGACGCGGACGCGGCCGCGGTATTTCGCAGTCGCGTAGCGGGGAGAACGGGCGGGTGACGGTGCACCGGCTGCCCCGATGTCGCCGCACACAAAGCCACGTGGCGTATAACGTCGACCCCGCACACATGCTTACAATCTGTCTACTCGCATTCGTGTGCTCAATTGGAAGGCGGGCTGATACGACCAACACAGTAGTGTGGGTAGTACTAGACGATAGTGAGGTAGAGTAGCGAATGTATGTATAGTGTATACATATACGGGCACACATGTAAATTAAGCTCGATCTCGATTCTGCCACAATCTCGTTTATGTATGCGCACCTATAATTGTAATAGTAAGTGATGACGCGTTTTGTCGGCTCGTGAGACGAGACGGTTGGTATTGCTCAATGATTGAGCTGTACTAGAGTTGTACGTAACGCCCAATAACATAACATAAAAAAATTAACACTTTCAGCTGATATCACTTTAATTTTATAAGCCTGTGCTTAAATCTTATTTTTAAAATATAAACGTCCTTACAGATACATTGATCGCTTTTATAAACTCGTTACGTTACGTATGAGAACCGTCCATGAGGAGGTCGAATCATTGATTTCATTAGGCGGGGTTTGTCTACTAGTTTTAAAAGAGGGAATTGGTTATATAGAGTATAGAGGCCTTCTTTCTTTACGAAGTTAGGCAGTTGTTGCACTCTTGGTTTTTATTTTCCAATACCAAAGTTCCCCATTCTCAGTTTATCGTCTTGCGTTGTGCGTGGGTTTGAGTTGAAGTCGCCTATCAAACCCTTGTTACAGGAATGTATGGCACTGGAGCTATCCTCATGTATCGCCTCCACCACCTCAACGTGCTGTGCCAAGTTTGATGCGTTTACCGCTAAATGGTTATCTATAATAATAAGAATATATAAAGATAAATAATCCCCGGAAATGATGTGATTGCTATCAAGCTGTTCCTGTATCATACAATGATACAACATTATTGCAAATTTTATTTACCTATTTTAAAGAAAATAATTTTACCGGTTTTCGTGCTGGTATTCCCCGAGATAGGTATTTCCCAAACCAGTGATAAATAAAATATTGTCTTTTAAAGCGTAATAATATGTAGTAATAATATACATATTTAATAAAAATATACTATTCTGTTCTGTTACGTTTCGTTCTATTTTATTCTATCCTTTCATATTTTATTCGTAGGGCCGTGGTAGCTCAGGGACTAAAGCGAGTGCTGTAAATGACAGATCACGTGCAAACTGGGCTCGATCCCCGTCGGCATCAAGGAAATTGATTTGAAGAGCTGATTTATCACGTGCTCGTCGGTGAAGGAAATCATCATGAGGAAACCAACATGTCTGACATATTAACAAAATATTATAATATTTATTTAATATATATAATGTATCGTCATATTCTTCAACTGATTACGAGTCCCAAGGTGTTTAATGAATATGACGGTATATGTCAGCTAATTGGGATGAAATGCATTACTTTTTTGCGTCCTTTCCGTGGCGGGAGGTCCGTTTCTCTTCTGCGGATTCGTTGAGCTGCGCGGATACGATAACCGATGTTTTGCGTCAAGCCCTTTCCTGAAGCTTTCACCCGTAGCAAAGCACACCCATGGTTTAACGCTGAATGCAAACGCAAACTGAAAAAACGCAAGCATTTAGTGTATCTATACTGGGTTGAAGCTTGAGACCGCAAAACTCCGGACCGCCAAGTCCTACAAAAAAGCGTTACGAAAAGCCAGTTTCGATCGTATTAAACATATTGGCGCAAAGTTCTCAGCCGGACCATCCGGTACTAGAGCGATTGAGACAAACGTTTGTCAGCCTACACTTCCCTCGCTGGTAAAACCGGATGTCAGACTAGCGCGTACGGCTAAAGAGAAAGCGAACTTGTTCGCGGCTCTCTTTGCCTGTAATTCACATCTGTACAGTGGCAATAACGTTCCACCTGAACCTGAATTAGCTTACTTCGACACCACTATGTCAGACTTCTATGTCCCATTGGTGACCAATAAGAGGTTTTTAAAACCTTGCGGTGTCTAGACGTGAATAAAGCTAGAGAACCAGATGGTATACCAGCTATAGTTCTAAAGGCTTGTGCACCTGAGTTGTCTACTGTGCTGAGTGCCAAAATCCTGGAAGCTGAGCAACGTGCAGCCTGTTCCAAAAAAGGCAGCCGTGCCGAACCTGCCAATTATTGGCCAATCTCAATTACCTCCATACTCTGCAAGATTATGGAGCGTATATTAACGCCCGTTTAATGGCATACCTAAAACAGAATGACCTCTTCAGTGACCGCTAGTACGGATTTTACCAAAATTGGTTAGCTGGGGACCTTCCAGCATATGCTATGCACATATGGAGCGAGGCACTCGAGAATAGTGCGAAAACACTCGATATTTCCCTTGATGTCTCGAAGGCCTTTGACAGAGTATGGCATGCTATACTTTTGGGTAAGCTTCCAGCGTACGGCTTATCCCTTGGTCTGATTGACTGAGTAAAGGACTTTCTGATTGAACGATCTCTTTGGACTGTCGTCGATGGCTACTCATCCGGTCCTGTGACGATAAACGCCGTCGTTCCTCAGAGGTCCTTCCTCTCCGCAACTCTCTTCCTGCTACATATTGATGATCTGCTTATGCCCGCTATCTATGGGTATGCAAACGTCAGTTCAGTTGTGGAGAGATACCAACCAAGTGCTCGGGCCATCAGGATCAAGTCCAGTCCGAAAGAGAAGCTATGGTTGAGCGTGTGAATCTCACACTACAGGCAGTCTCCGAATGGGACGATGCCAATCTTGTGAAATTCAACGCCTCTCAACACAAGCGTTTCTCTTAACTGCAAAAAGGAGCTAGCTCACCTAGGCTCCTTCTTTCCGAAATGTATCACCGTAATGCACCTAACGCCTTCGGTTTTTATTATTATCATTTGGATTCAATGGAAAGGCGTACTAATAGGCTTATTGGTGACCCGAATCTGGTTAAAACCAATCTTAGCAGTCTCAAACAGAGGTACACAGTAGCCTTTCAGTTTTCGAAGTGTACGCAGGAATTGCATGACTTAATTCCACCCTCTCCCTACCACCATCGGACAAACAGATGTTTGGCCAGTCTCCACCCTTTCGGTGTTGACTTACGACGCGTTCGAACCAAATGGTTTGCTAGATCGTAGATGCGTACAGCAAAGGAGTGGAATAAGTTTCCAGCATCTGTTTTTCCATCCCATTACAATGTCATTGTATTCAAGGCAAGAGTGAATAGGCTTTTGTTAAGTCAGTGCGCTTCAACATCTTAGGCTACGTCACCACTTACCATCAGGTGAGATTCAACTTAAGCGTTGGTTTAGAATAGTAAACAATATGCAACACGCATTAAAAAAGCGCGGGAAACATTTCCTTCCACTAAAATTCTCTCAGTTTTGAGAGAAGACATGTGTTGCAGTATTTTCTTCTCTTTTATCCTATTCTATCCTATCTTCCTTTAGTTTTCCTCTGTCGCTTTGACATTGAAACTTGTAAAGTGATTAGACTGCTAAGAGAGTTTTAGGCTTACAAACGTTTCATCTTTTATTAATATTAAGTTCAAGATTCACAAAAGCGGAATTCAGATTTAGATTATGATGTAAGATCAATTATGTAAGTGTAGTAAGTAGATCTAATTGATTTCGGCGGATATAGGTAACACATCATTTCACACGAATTTAATTCATCTGTATAAGTAATTTTGAAATGTTTTATATAAACTAAAAGAAAACGATAGTATTCAGAGAAATTTCTTTTGTACTCTTTGGATGCAGTTCGAGTGAACCATACTATAGACCAGCATCCTAAAATAATAAGGTATCTATTCAAGCACAAAGTTTTATGAAGTATAAAACTCTGTGCTTGAGACCCTTATAAATCGTGTTATAAAGCCAAGCATCTTGATTGACCTTTATATAACATAATGGTTATGATTACATAGCATAAAGCTGCACTTGATTGCATTAACATCATTTTGCAATTTTAAAAAGATCACCTTGGGGAAGCAAGCAATCATTGTAATTATTGATTTTATGAAAGATCTTTAAATTGTCAGTATACAGTGAGCAAGAAACATTGTTAACGATATCATTCATGAAGACCAGAAAGAAAAAGGTTTGAAGGTGAAACTTGCGGTACTCCAGATTTAATTAGAATTGGGATAGACGTATATTAATGTTGTCAGGCCCAGTGTGTAAAATTTTGGGACAGAAAGTAAATAAATGATCGTCGAATTGAGGACATCGACGCATAGCGCACCGGAACGGGCGGGCGGCATCAGGCAGTGGAAAAAAAAACAAGACAGCATAACGATATCTGTATCTCGCCAACACAATACGCGCGAGGTTTAAAATAAAAGTTTTAAAAAGTTTCAAAACTCGGACTAAAAAGTGAACATAAAAGTGTTCACTTTTTAGTCCGAGTTTGGTAAGAATATGAGTATGTCAAAGGAAAAAAATATTTTAATGTAGTAGTTAGTAGCGTACAGATGTATTTAATTTTTGCTGTCAACATTTATTTCTACTGTCAGATTTATGTATTGGAACCACATGAGCAGTTGAGCAGTTTTCTATAAAGTTGGGAATCGATCAACTAATAAGGATCTATTGAATATCATAGATAAAGGTATTATTAAGATATGGAGTCATTTATTCGAAAATGGGTGGTATATATACCTCCAGGGCCGTATCTAAATAATAATAAGAATTTCGTTTTTGGGTAATGAGAATTGATGATAACGTGAATTGATAGATGTGATAGGATGTTTGGAAGATGGGTGCAAAGCCTGAAGGGGATGATACCTTCAATCATATAGAGCATATTAAGCTAAAATTGTCTTGGTCGAAGTCTGCTCCTTCTTTTTAATTGAATTCGTAATGTTTTTAACAATAAAACCCTCTTTTTTCAATTAATTGCTGGTGGTGGTCCAGTAACGGTTGTTGTGTTATTATGTTTTATTTATGTAATAAGTGATTACTCAAAGAAAAACATTTCCAAGCGTCTTCACCATCCGAAAAACATTCTACGCATATTTAAGTTTAAGAAACCAAAAAAAAATAAGGAAATAATTGTGTTTACGCTATCATAAGAAAATAAATAAAATAGCCTTTGTTGTTCGTACCCTTTCAAAAACATGCTTAGTTATTGCCTTTTCTTTTGAGGTAATACTTACGCAGATTTCTCATCGACTTTTGGAATTAGGGTGTACAAAGCAAATTGCGGACGAATATTTTTATTTTTATACGGATAAAAATAATGCATCATTTTTGCTAATACACTATTGTTTTCGTTGAACTGATATTTTAGAATTGTGGTGCAGTGCGCGGATTAACTTCCGGGAACTTGTTTAGCAAAAGCCCCACGCGACTTAAAAATCTTGATATTTTTTGACTCTCAGGTACCGCCTAGTGTATAAACTTTTATTCAATATAACTATCAGCTTAGTAATTCACACTAATTAGAATCAGCACTTGAGTAGTAAAGCGGGTTCGTCACATATTTGGACCCTCAGCTAGTAAAGTAACGACTGTTTATGTGACTAGACGTTTAAATTGTTAATTCGTGTTTATCTACTGAAGGTGTTATCTGAAGATGTTCTTTTTTATCGAGTTGAGCCTAGCCTTAGCTGTATGCTCCTTCACTGTACTTTGACTATTTGTGTGATCAATTAACTATGGCTGCTTTTACTAATGAAAAATATGCTGATATCGTCTTCGTATATGGCAGAGCTGACTGACAGTAATGGCTCTATGGCACGGCGGATGTACCGAGAGCGATATCCGAATCGAAGATTACCACATATCGGGATGTCTTACAGCAGATTTGTCAGCTTTCTGAAATTGGAATCCATCACGCAAAACTTGGTGTCAATCCGGGAAGACATGGCCCAGGTGTCTAGGAAGACGTTATTGCAGCTTTCGATGCAGATCCTACTACGATTGTCAGAACAGTAGCTCAAAACCTCCACGTTTCGGAATAGAAAGTGTGGAATACGATGCACCGAGAAAACAAGTATCCTTTTCACGGCATGGGTGTACAAGGTTTGGAAAATGAAGATTCCCAACGAAGGATTCAGTTCTGTCACTTTTTGCTAAATTGTGACATTGAAGATGAATGGTTTTTAAAATCCATCTTGTGGACCGATTAGTCAAAGTTTTCGAAAGAAGGAATTACCAACTTTCATCGATGGGCGGGCAAGGATCAAATCCACACTGGAAGAAGCAAGTGCCGTCTCAAAGGAAATTTTCAGTAAGCGTGTAGGCAGGAGTAATCGGTTGAACGTTGATTGGTCCCCATTTCCTACCAGAAAATTTAAAAGGAGACAATTGCCTGGAATTTCTGATAAACGATCTCTCAGAGCTTATAGACAAGTCCGAAATACCAATATTGGCAATGAGAAGACCGGTGATCTTTCAGCATGTTGGTTGTACAGCGCATTGGACTCTAAACGTGCGAGAACATTTTAATAATAGTTTCCCAGAGAACTAGATCGGCAGAGACGGTCCCATTTCTTGGCCACCTTGATCGCCTGATTTAACTCCTGTGGATGTTTTTGTTTGAAGACGGGCCAAGGAGGTCATCTACACGCATGTGGAAATATCAACCAGAGAGGAGTTCATAGGAGCAATCCAAACTGCTTTTCAAGTTAAGCAGGAGATGAAAATGAAAATTTCGACGACAGACGTGAGAAGACGAGCCCGCATTTGTGTATGTAAACTTCTTATAAGAAGTATATTTCTTTAAAAAATTTTAAAGCACGAGAGTACATAAATTTGTTTATAAAAACACGGGTAACTCTCCATTTATTATTAGGGATGGGCCGAATATGGGCTTTACCGAATACGAATATTCGGCCGAATGTTCGGTAAAATTTTTACCGAACCGAATATTCGGCCGAACATTATTCGGCAGGATAACCTCGGGACCCAACCAATTTATATCGAAACTTGTTACCGTAAAGCGCGCGGGATTAGCGCCGGACCCTGCCTCTCGCTCCCCGCCACACCTGACAGTTATTGCATCATCTAGTACTGAGCAAATTGCCGGCAAATGCTTATGTTTTGACTATTCTTGTGATAAAAAAGTATTTCGTTGTTTTATTCTTAGTGAAAATTGATAATTATATGTTAAAAATGTGCAGCAGGAGATTTACTATTTGGACTTATTTTAGAGAAACTGACGACTAAAGTAAAGTGAAATGTATTAATGTAATGTAATGTGTCTTTGATTCCAAAAACATTTTATCAAGTTTCTATTTGCTATAATCGGAAATAAATCTACAGTGTCTCAAAAACATACCCCATAAATAAAATATACTCTCAACAGTAAAGACATTGCATTACTCAATTTGTACATTTCAATACATTGGACACTACGAAACCGAATATTCGGTGATTTTGCCGAATATTCGGCCGAATACGAATATTCGGTAAAGCTGCCGAACATGCCGAATACCGAATATAAAACGAATATTCGGCCCATCTCTATTTATTATCAAATATAATAATAATAATGAGATTGATAATGATACCCCTCTATCCTTAGCCAACGAGCAATGGCAAGACCCGGCAGTGCAGACAATTTCCGACCGGGAGAACGTATGGAAGGAGAAGGAGCTCCACGGGAGGTTCTACAAGGCTCTACATGAGCCTTTCGTAGACACAGTAGCCTCCCTCCACTGGCTACGCTTTGGTGATCTCTTCGGGGGAAACCGAGGGTTTTGTCTGTGCAATACAGGATCAGGTTATTAAGACCAACAACTATCGGAGATACATCCTAAAGGATGGCACCGTGGACATCTGTCGAGCTTGTCGCCATCCCGGTGAGTCACTTAGGCATGTCATCTCCGGTTGTTCGGCGCTTTCTAACTCTGAGTACTTACACAGGCACAACCTAGTAGCCAGAATTCTTCACCAGGAGCTCGCTCTGAAATACGGTCTCGTGGATCGGAAATTGCCGTATTACAAGTACTTGCCGGAAGCCGTGCTCGAAAATGATCGCGCCAGGCTCTATTGGGACCGGGCCATCATCACAGACAGGACTATTCTTGCGAATAATCAGATATTGTGCTGATGGACCGGGCACAGTCAAGGATATTTTTGGTCGACATTACCATTCCGTATGACGAGAACCTCGTGAAAGCCGAAACAGACAAGCAAACAAAATATCTGGACCTGGCTCACGAGGTGACTGACATGTGGGGTGGTCTGCCGACCGAAATTATTCCTGTAGTCGTCTCTGCAAACGGGCTAATCCCAGTCAGCCTCTCGGGTCATCTGAGGCGACTGGGACTACGTGGCGGACCGCTCCGGGCTCAAATGCAGAAGGCGGTGCTCCTCGATACCGCCCGCATCGTCCGCCGGTTTCTTTCCCTTTCCCCCTAACCCTCGGCCGTTTGGTCTCCCCTGCCGAGGGCCTCCATCTGGTTGGGCTTTTATTTATTTATGTATTTTTATATTTATTTTATGTTATTGATATATATGTATATTTATCTTTTCATTTTCATTTATAATTATATATTTATAGAACCCAACCAGATGAGAAAACTATATAGATACCCCACAATAATAATGAGATTGCATTATTTTAATTTTGAATGAATTAAAATATAAAAAATGCAGTAGTATAAGTCTATGATAAAAAACCATAAAACTGCAACGGAGCAATAAGTAATACCCAAGCGTTTAAACTAATATTAAGGCATAACATTCCCTTAAATTATTTAAAGTCTGTATGTATTTAAGTTAAATGTTTTTGTTAATAAACAGGATAATTTTGCAATGTACTGCCAAATTTGCAGAGACCGTTCTAAACAGGTAATATAGCGAACGGTGAAGGAAAATTAATAAAAAAAGTCAAACGTTCTGTTCTTTTTATCTTTTAAATTCAGAATGCGCGGTAATGCATTATTAACTGATTATCATTCATAAATATCTAAGGCCTATCATTTTACAACGCACGCAAACATTCGTAATGGTCGATCGGTCGGAAAAAAATTGTAAATTAAGGGGAAATATA